TGTGTGTGTGTGTATGGGTGGGTGTGTGTGTGTGTGTGTGTGTGTTTGCATGTATTCGTGTGTGTTGCAATGTGTATGTACGAGTATTGAGTGCGCTTGTGTATTTGTGCGAACCTGCTTTCAGTAGAAGGAAGCATTCATGAAAATATTTACATGTACCTGACAATTTGCCAAATAGAGGCAGCTTCAGAAGTCACGGTGTTATATTTCTTTATTGAGCCTGAGTAATATATGGTACATATATTTTTAAAATAACGTTGCACAGCACACTGTATAATGTACATGTACCTATTTTTAAAAAAATCATAATTTTGATTTCTTATACAACGGCAACCCATTTCACTTGGCAATTTTTCCGTCTGTTCTAGAACTTTATTTACGCGTATAGGTATGGCCTATACATATCAAACTGTGTCAATAAACAAACAGGCAGTGGTCATTTACCCTCATTTCCTGAAAAGAAAAAAAATTCCAATCCTGTTTTACTCAATAGAAGCTGCTTTTAATATAAGCTGTATAAATTCTGAAAATTGCACGATTTTATAATCTAAGCCCAGAAACCAAAATTATACAGGAGATATAATATAAAAGAACACTTTTATTTTTTAACAACTGTACAAACAATTATGTTATTTTTCTATCTATTTTTCATCATGATTTGAATTCCAATAAAATACTTTTTAATCCTTTGCAAACGGTACCGAACGAAAACCAAAATTATAGGTTGAGTACATTTTAACAGCTGGCCAACGAAATGGAGTTTAGCAAACTCTATAGAGGATGCACAGGCCGCCTTTGTCAGCGTAATGATTCGGGTAGCGCGTTTTTTCGATTAGTTTCCACTTGGTCTCCTCTTCCAGCTTGTTCCACAAAGGTTCTAGGCGGCCTCTGTATTCGGTCGCTATCGTCAAATTTTCTTCACGCAGGCAGATTATTATATAGCCACCTGTAAATCATGAAAAAAGGGATTTTAACTGATTTAGGCAAGGGGAGAATGAGATCTATCTATCTATCTATCTATCTAGCTATTTATGTATGTATAATGCATTATTCTTTTTATATGGCTTATATGTTACAGTAAGAATGCGTACCTAGTGAATACGTGTAATCACTGAATATTTCAGTGAAAACGCGTAATCCCTATTTCACTCGGAGATTTCAC